AGTTACTATACACAGGTAAGGTGAAAAGACAAGCAATTATCTTGCTAAGTCAAACAGACAGACCTCTCTCTTTTCAGATCTTTTAAGACAAAATTATTTCTTTACACATAAATCAACTAGACAATTGCCTAAATTTCCAATTTCTGTCCCGCAGTGCCACTTCTTTAGTTATTCTGACACAGAAGTCAGCAACAACACAAAGTTCCCGAGACAACAAGTCAGAAGCAAAACACAGACTAAATCTCAGTTTGGAAGACTTCACCTAATACCTTAAATGTTCCAGGAATGGTTAAGTACTGCATGTGACTGTCACCTGCTCAAAAGAAAGAGGAGTTGGGGACAGGGGGCAATCATCACTCATTCAGACTTCACTGAAGAGTATGGTACCAAAATTAGACACAAATGGAGAAGATATGAAGCACTCATTTTAACATCAACATACTGGATTAATGGTTCAGAAAAATGAAGCAGTGTAGAGGTACTGACATGTTTAGAACACAAACACTTATTAGGTTAAATAAATTCAGTAAGTCACTCAGGACCAAGTAGAACATGAATAGACAGACATAGGGATTCACAAAGCTGTTTTCTCAACAGTTATTTTTTAAAAAACGCTGCATCCACTTAGATGACTTCCTGTATTCCTCTACGGTCCTCATTCCTCAGTTACCAAGGACTTCTATTCTAACCGATTCAATCAACTGGCCAACACCCTCCAAAATGAACTCATTCTCAAGAAGAAAACATCATGTAACTAATTACCAAAACTTTTTAAAGCTCAAAGTAGTCTCTGAACTAATCTAGAAAACACATAGCCACCACAAATAATAAACATAGAGTTTAATTCTGAATGGTGATATATACCATGTAGCTGTGATTCTAAAAAAACACTGATTTTTAAGACACCCTCAATTAATGATTGTGCATATCAACTGTAAGATGCATCTTGATTTCAAGAACAGTAAAAAGTTTCTAAATGCACATTCAGAATCAAGAAAAAACAGTAATTACGAAAGATCTATAAAGAATACTACTTCATTCTCATGTGGAAAACAGTTAGATGTGGCCATATAATAAAATGTTCACGCTGGAATACACTGAAATCAACCTTTTGACCCAACAAAAATTTAGTCTAAAAATCAAGTGTCATTCCCACAACAGTATTAGATTACATTGTGTCCAAAAAATCACAATGTCTACTCT